ATTTTAGAATTCAAAATGAAGAATTTGATTTGTTGAATTTTGCTTGCTGGGTTCTTTGGTATTTTCCCTTTTCTAGAATAAAAGCCTCAGCCTACAGATCTTTTTTAAATGGAGAAGATGTTGCAGGATAAAAAGGAAATGCCAAGCAGGAGGAATACATCTGGCAATATTTTAAAATATTTTATAGCAACTTATATGATATAAACTTAAATGACTTAGGTAGTCTTCTATAAAATTTTTCTCTTTGGGGAGGAACTAGGAAGAAGCAAGGTATATTTCTCAAGACACCAAATCCAAACAGTCTTGAAATTTACCATAAGAGGCAGATTTTTCTCTTCTTCTCTTCTTGGCTATGAAAATATTCCTTATGACACTGCCTTCTTTTCCATGCCCTTTCATAACCTGGGAGAGTTGGTTGGCAGATTTCCAGTAAGCAGTGCTCACTGCATCTAATAGACTCAAACCGTCTCCTTGGCAAAGAATAGAAAAGCCCTGTGGCTAAAAATGTCAAGTCTGGGATGCTAAAGCTCTACAAGAGAATGTTGTTCCCTGGGCTAGGAAATAGGCTGGGTAACAAATGTCTTTTTCCCAGCTTGTCAATGCCTATGATGCAAAGAAAACAATATTAAAAGGAATGGGGGAATGTTCAGGGAGCTAAAATGAAGATATTTTATTTGAATATTTTAAATATTCAAATTATTCAAAATATTCAAATTATTAAATATTCAAAATTTAAATTCAAATATTTTTATGAACTTTAAATATTTGCTAATGATTAAATATCACATTAAAAAGATCAACTGGATCCTTATTCAAAATATTCAAATTATTAAATATTCAAAATTCCAAATTATTGGAATATTATTGGAATATTTGGAATATTCACAGTTCCAAATTATTCAAAATATTCAAATTATTAAATATTCAAAATTTAAATATCTTTATGAATTTTTAATAAATATTTGCTAATGATTAAATATCACATTAAAAGGATCAACTGGATCCTTAAATCATTATGGATTTACATTCATAGATAATTGGGATAAGGTCAAAACACTCCCAGATCTCTAAGTTCATGATAGTTAACTTGCATTTCTTTCATAATATTCATAGAATGCTTCTGATAAATGCAGTGCAAATGGATACTTTATTCCCAACAAGGGCTGTTGAAATTAAACACTGTATGCTGAGTACTGCCATTCTGGGTGTATTATATATTCCACAGACAAGTGAATCATGACTAATTGACATAGGTATATATGTATTATTTGTATATACACATATATGGATAGGTGTGTATGCAATTTAAAAAAATTAAAACGTATTTTTCCCCATTAGAGAGAGTTCCGTCAGGCCATAATTTTACATCATGGAGTATTGGTTAAGAGAATGGTGCTTGAATCAGATTGCCTGAATGAAAACTATTTATTAACTGTGTGACCTCAGGCAAGTTACTGAACTGTTTTGTGTAGCAGTAACTTCATCTCCAAGATGGGAATGGTAATTGCCCCTGCCCCATGCATGGGGCAATTGTGAGGATTCAATGAATTAGAACATAGCACCATATAACGTACAAAATAAATGTGAATTTTCATTATAATTAGGGCCATGTGTAAGGCCCCCTGCTAGGTGATCTGAGAAGTAAGAGTAAAAATGTACACAGTTTACACACTTATATAGTGTATTGCCTATCTGGGAAATCAAGCTACATTTCTATGTAAAGTAAAATATAATACCTGAGAAGAAAACCAACAGTTCTGTTAAGCACAGACCAGCTGCTTAAAAACAAAAGCTGTGGCAGACTGGGTGACACGGACCAGGGGACTATTTTTATATAAAGTGTCAGCCTTACCTTTGTGTCCCTTCACCCGATGCCTATCTCTTTGATATGATGAAAGAAGTCTGAGACAGATTGTATGATAAACATGGTTTGCCGTGGTCCAGCCTGTATTAATCTGGCAGTGGTTTAACCACGGTTAAGCATTAAGTGACGCAGATACTGATGCTGGATTAAGGCTCTTGACAACAGAGATGGGTTGATCTGTGAGTGCCCTGAGAAGTGGGCCAGCCTGTCAATGTCTGCAGTTTTTAGGGAAATAGTGACTGCTTTAGCTGATTTTTCTGAGATTTACAAAGAGTACCAAACTGTGATTATCCAGCTTAAGAGGTAATTCTGTACAAGAACTAGTACAGAACAGCGTGTATCTAAATGCCAAAAGAACGGCACATTTAACAAGTGCTCCATGAGGTCAAGGACAGGGCTGCTTATTATGGTTTGGGATGATCATAGAAGGTCTTGGCAAAATGTGATTATGAATGAGCCTTAATAAAAATTTGAAGTAATACTTTTACTAATTAATTTCTTTTAACTCCAATATTAGGTCCCCCCCACTTAATTTTTAAATTTGTTACTCCAGATTTTCACCTAAAAACTGTCCCTGAATGGTGCTCCATAAGAAAAGACAATTTTTTGGCTAACTTATGGGTTTAATACGTTTCTGTGGGTTGATCTGAAAATGTAGCCTTCATCTAAAACATTGCTTTTCGTGAGGGAAGCAGAGGGTACTATGACTTTCAGATAGTTAACATACACATTCAGTTTTGAAAACTCTGCTTTAACCGGTTCTTTCATTCAACAATTATCTATTAAGTGCTTTTGATATGTCAGAGTTGTAGGCACTGAGGATACATCAGTGAACAAAAACAAAGATCCCTGCCCTCATGGAGCTGACATTCTAGAGAATGGAGATAGTTAAACCTTAAATGTAGTAAATAACTGGTATACTAAAGAAAAAATAGAGTAGGATAAAAGAAATGGAGTGAGTGGCAATTTTAAACAGGATGGTCATTGAGAAGGTGACATTTAAGCAAAGTGTGAAGGGAGCTGGCCAAGGTTACCACATCTGGGGAAAGAGCATATAAGGTAGAGGGAAGAACCAGTGCAAAGGCCCTGCGGCAGTAGCTTATGAGTGAGTTTAAGATCAGAAAGGAGGCTAGTGTTGTTGGAGGGAGTGTGGAAGAGAGAAGCAAATGAGGTCAGAAAGGTAACTTGTGTAGTGGCAGGAAGGGGACTGGCCAGATCATGTTGGGCTTTGCAGGCTATTATAGAGGGTTTGAAAAAGTTAAACATCACTTGTATTGGCTGGCTTAAAGTAGGGTCTACTTATACCAAAATAATTCCTCCTTTTACCTGCATCCTACACTTAACCTTCAATGTTCATAGAAATCACCTTGTTAAAATTTAGATCCTGATTTAGTAGGTCTGGAGTAAGGCCTGAGATTCTGCATCTTTGACAAGCTTTCGGGAAATACCAGGTTGCAGCTCCACAACCACACTTGGAATGAGAGTAAAAGAGATATTTTTATAGGGGCTTTGGGGCTGGTTGCAAAGGCCCCCTTTTTCCCTTTGAGCCTGAAAGGACTATTTTAAAAGGTTTGTCTTTACACTTTCATATTAGCCATGGGTTTCCTCACTATTCATGGTCCCATTAGCTGGCTAATAAGAGCATGGTCCAGGGCTGACTCCAGGAACATGGAGAAGGTTGTGGCTGCTTCCATGCAGAGTGTAAGAAGTTTCTAGGGCTTCTTCACTACTACTATGGAGGCTCTGCTTCTGAACTTCAACCTGGCAAAACCTATTCTGCTCTGCTCTTTGAAGGATAATTTCACACTCTGATCAAGTTCGTGCCTTTTTTTTTTTTTTTTTTGGAGACAGTTTCATTTTGTCACTCTCGGTAGAGTGCCGTAACGTCACAGCTCACAGTAACCTCAAACTCTTGGGCTCAAGTGATTCTCTTGCCTCAGCCTCCCAAGTAGCTGAGACTACAGGCCCCTGCCACAACGCCCGGCTAGTTTTTGATTGCAGTTGTCATTGTTTAGCAGGCTTGCACTGGGCTCGAACCCGCCAGCTTCGGTGTATGTGGCCGGTGCCTTACTCACTGAGCTATGGTGGACGCCGAGCCCACGTTCACGTCTTACTCCAATTACAGAAGCTCTCACTCACCATCTTCACTCCTGGTCCTAAACTGGAGTGATAGCCCTGCACTGAAACGTGGGCCTGAGGCAGCTGGGCGAAGTGGGTTATGTTCCCAGGCAGAAGAGGTGCTCCTTCCTGTGTGTTAACAGGCAAGGCTGAGTTTTTTAAAGAGCCAGCATACAGTAATTTACTGCTGCGCAGGCCTGGCAGGACTAGCCATTTGCAAATATAAACCGTAGGCTAAGGAGAAAGATAGCTGTGGATTTGAATTGTGCTTCCACCCTTTACTATATCATCTCGGGAATGTTCCTTAGTGTCTCCGAGCTGCAGTTTTCTCATCTGGAAAATGGGGACGATACCAATACTTCCTTTATAAACTGAGATAACGCATGTAAAGTACTTAGTATGATACAAAATACCAGTTGCTATTATTTTTATAATTTCTACTAACGTCCCATCGCGCATCAAATCGCTTCAAGGCTTGGCATTATAGCAACTACTTTTAGGTCCTGAAGTTACGGCACCAGAGCAAATCCCTTAGCAAAAGCGTTCAAAGGTGAGACACAAATCAATAGCAGTTTCATCATGATCCCTGTTGCAAGCGATAACTGAACTAACTTAAGATGTTTAGTTTAGAAAATAGAGGATGGGGGGCCAGGATGTGATGGCTTTGTTAAGGCTGTCTTGCATAAGTGGAATAGAGGCGCTCACTGAGACCCTGAGGGCACAACTAAGATTAACCGGAAGAGAGTCAGGGCAGCGCACTCCAGGCCAACGTCAAAGAAAGCTCCCCCGCAGCGCGCTCAGTCCCCGCGGGCAGGGGTAGGGTAGGGGGGGCGCGTCTGGTGCGCAGCTGCGGCCGCGGGGCCAATCACTGGACGAAGCCTGTCCTCGCGCGACTGTACACTCCGTACACTCGTGACGTTGACGGTTGCCATGGAGAGGCCCGCTGGGTAGGCACCGCGAGCTGGCGCCAGGAGTCGCAGGGTCTGAGCGTGGCTTTGAAGCCGCGTCCTCCATCACCATGAGCGGCCGAAGTAGGGGTCGAAAGTCCTCCCGCGCCAAAAGCCGGGGCAAAGGCCGCGCCAAAACCCGAGTCCGCGCTGGTCCTGACGATGCCCCGCGCCGCCCGGATCCACCACAGTGCCCGAGGCTCGGGGAAGATTCCAAGGCGGCACAGGTGCGGGCTGGCGCGGGTTGGGGTGGCCTGGAAACCGCTGCGCCCGCGCTGCCCGCGCCGCCTGCGCCGCCCGCGCCGCCGCTGCGGCCCGGGGACGAGGCTGCCTGCCGGCTCCCCCTGGATTGTGGCCTCGCCCTCCGGGCCCGTGCCGCCAGCGAGCGTGGGCAGGCCGCGACCAGGCCCGGCCCAGGGAAAACCACATCTCTCTCAGAGCGTCTGGCAACAGACACTGTGTTCGTGGGAACTGTGGGAACCGTGGGAAGGCCAAAAAATGTCCCCCGCGTTGGAAATCGGCGAGGCCCTGCTGGGAAGAAGGCCCCAGACACTTGTAGCGCAGTGGGGCGCGGCCCTCAGGCTGTGGCTGGTGGGAAGCTGAAGAAAGGGCCAGGGGGCGAGTGTACCTCAGGCTCAGCAGGGGAAGAAAGGAAAGTGGATAAGGATGCAGGGTCAGTGCCCCCTGTGACGGAAGGCAGCATGGATACTCTGGAGACCGTCCAGCTGAAGCTGGAGACCATGAATGCCCAGGCAGACAGGGCCTACCTTCGGCTCTCACGCAAGTTTGGCCAGTTGCGATTGCACCACTTAGAGCGCAGAAACCTCCTCATCCAGAATATTCCAGGCTTCTGGGGGCAAGCTTTTCAGAATCACCCCCAGCTATCATCTTTTCTCAACAACCAAGATAAAGAGGTACTCACCTACTTGAATAGCTTGGAGGTGGAAGAGCTTGGCCTCGCCAGATTGGGCTACAAAATCAAGTTTTACTTTGGCCGCAACCCCTATTTCCAAAATAAGGTGCTCATCAAGGAATATGGGTGTGGTCCTTCCGGTCAGGTGGTGTCTCGTTCTACTCCAATCCAGTGGCTCCCAGGACATGATCTTCAGTCCCTAAGCCAAGGAAACCCAGAAAACAACCGTAGCTTCTTTGGGTGGTTTTCAAACCACAGCTCTATTGAGTCTGACAAGATTGTGGAGATAATCAATGAGGAACTGTGGCCCAATCCTCTGCAATACTACCTTTTGAGTGAAGGGGCCCGCGGAGAGAAAGGGAAAGAAAAAGAGGGGAGACAAGGTCCAACTAAGCAGCCAGTGGAGACCCCGGAGCCTGGGGTGAACCAGTCCAACTGATTCTGCACAAGTCTCTACTACCTCCTGCCAGATCATTCCTGGCTCACTACTTGTGTGTTTGGCTATCTGCCTTTTCATGTTGGCCTCTGTGTACTGTATCCCCTTTAGGACTTTCGCTACAAGAATATGGCATTCATGATCATGTTCTTTTGCCTCCTCAAGGCCTTCTCTTACATTAATGTCACATGTTGTATGATTTCACCCTACTGTTCATATGTTCAACACACGTACTTCAGATGTGTTCTGCCTTTATCTACCTTGCCTGGACCCTGTTGACTCTGGCCTTTCCTACTTGTTTTTGACGTGGACACTCAGAAGTCATCCTCCTGGAGGACTAGTGCATCGTCAAGCTCTGCTACTTCAGGCCTAGTGACTTGCTGGACTTAACTGTTCTTATTGGCCATGCATGTCATCTGTGGCAAGCATTTCTATTGCCATTGCAGAATGCAGCCAGTGTGCATGATATTGGCCATCAACCAGAACTTAACTATTTCATGGGTCTGGGGTCACCCTTCATGGTGTTATTTACTTTATCTCTGGTTTTGTCCTGCTGGCCAACCAGCAGAATGGCACTTGACTGCTGGGCATGCATGAGGCTATGGGCAAGAAATAGTATGCTATGTGTTTTATGCCATCATGTATCTTTTGCCTCTGGGACTTCCTATGGGTGGACCTTCATTAAGGTCTACTTTATGCCCTGCCCACTTACTGTCAGGCCATTGAGTTTTGTCTAGGTTGCTGTTGGCCCCAGTTGGCTTCCTGGTCAACAAGAACCTCAAGAACTGCCTGTGGACTCAGGTCTTCTGCCAGTGCGTGAGACACACACCTACTCTCCCCAGCCTTCCAGGATCCCTAAAGGATCCCTACTAGCTGCTAGACTGAAGGACAGGCTGGTATGTGTGGACATGTGCTCACTGTCACTATGCTGTGGATCCAGGTGAGGGGGGAACATAAAATCTAGGTTAACTTTGTCAACTTCTCAATCCTGTCTGAGACATGAGTAGGGTGCCATAGAGGGGATTTGGGAAGAAGGACTTCTGATCTATGGGCCTCTACCTACTTGACTTCATCTACATACTTCTTATTTGGCCCTCTTTCCTCCTCTTCTTTATTCTTCTTTCCCACATTTCCTTGCCACTTTTTTTCCTTTTTGTTTAAGTAGTACTACAACTCAGAGAAAACAACTATAAAACAATGTTTTTCTGCTTACAGCTAGGGAGATAGCTGGAGACTTGCTATGCACATTCCTGTGCTGGGCTGAAAGAGATTAGAGGAAACCAGAAGGGCCAAGTGGATCATCTGTAGGCAGACTCTGGTCCTTTCTCCTGGGCTTACTCCATACTTCTGAAGTAGAAAAGTCTTTTCATGCTTTTGCATTTGCTTGATTATGAATCTCGGGCAGCAGTGTTGTAGACTACTGTTTACTCTTGTTTTGACGTTTAAATTTTTTTTTAAATTCCCTTAAGACCCAACCAAGTGCCTCTTGTTATTTTCTCCTCTTGGGTAGGCTCTGGCCATCTGGATCCTCTGTGGCCAGCTTTTCCACTCTTGGCAGTCCTTTGTTCTCTTTGCTCATACTTCAGTTGTCCATAGGGGTAGGCTTTAGTGTCCAGTGTTGGGGGTGGGGTCCCAAGGCTCTCCTGGGGCATGGGGATGGGCAGAATCAGTACTGGGTCTGTAGGTTATTTCCTATGGATGTGAAAGCTGAACTGGGCCCTTTCCCCCTCATCCTTAAAGGTGGGAGAAAGACTGTATCTACACCTGTCCTCTCCCTAATTTTCCTTTCCTTATTGGAAGACCTCATTGTAAGTTCTGCAAAGAAAGACCTTAATTCAAAGTTGTAGTGAGGGTGTGTTAGATGGGAACTGGGGCAAAAACATAGGGCAGGCATGAGCCTGGTATGGAGTGGGCCTGGAAAAGTAGACAGGAATGGTTTGAAACATTACGGGGAGAGTATGTCTGTCTCTTAGTGATGGAGAGGATGGGAGGGACCTCTCAGGAATGGGAAGGGACAATTCAGGAGGCTCTGGGCAAATGATGCCTAGATGAGAGTGTGTCCAAAGTTTTGCTTAATCTGTATCTCATAATTTGTGGATTTTATAAATTACAGAAAGAAAAACAGAATAATGTTATTTTGGATGCTTTTTCTTTTGTTCTAGGTGTGGCCTTGTTTACATGTGGAAGATTAATGCTATATGCTACTTATGTGGCCTCTAAAATCGTAACATTTTCTCAGTTTTTGCCAAATGGGAAAATAGAGCTATATGAGTCTGCATTTATGTTTTTTGTTTTGTTTTAAACTTTTTTTCCTCTTTATTATGGATATTTTCAGACATGCACAGAAATGGAGAGGCTGGTGCCTGGGCCCCATGTGCTCATCACCTGGCTGCATCAGTTATCAATTATGATCGATCTGGTTTTATCTGTTATCTCCCTTTGCCCACCTGTATTGTTTATTGAAAGTCCAAGGCACTGTACCAATGCAACCATAACTACTTTTGAAGATTGGTACTCTACTTTGATGGTGATAGTGGTGGGGTACACTGTCATTTTCACTTTTTGCTTATAATGTTAACTAATGAGAGATGGGCCTTTGAAATAAAAGTCTTCAGAATTAACAAAGAGTCTCAAAAAGAGGTGAGGGGGATGTTGCCTTTCCCTTATATCCACACAAGGAGGGGGAGACTGATTTCTTCTAAAACTCTTTTAAAGACTCTAATATGATAAGGTACTGAATTGAGACCCTTCACAATAATATCAGACATTTTTCCCTATGTAACATGGAGACTTGTGTTACTGCTACGATTGTTACCAGCTTATCCTGGTCTTGGAAGTATCATTTGGAAATTGTTGCCATGTTCTGTGAAAATAACCTCCCAAAAGTAATCAATAACTGGTTGTCATTCTTGATAATTTGACACCCTGGTAATAATGCAATATTTCTGTGTTCCTGAACTGTATAAATAGTTGTAAGCTTGCTTGCATGATGGAAAAATAAAAGCCTGTATCTCTGTTATATTTCTGATTTTCAAAAAATTGGAAAGTTGCCAGCCAGAGGCTGGACAGCTGAAGGAATATATACTTGGGCCTAGGTATGTGATTCCTAAGTGTCAAAATCTTGTGGCTACACAAAAAATACACAAAATTCTGATTCCCAGGCCTTCTCAGTGATTTAGATTTTGTGTTTCTGAGGGGAAGCCAGGTAGTCTTACTTTTAACAAGCTTTTCAGATCATTTGAGTGGAAATTCAGTGCTTCCCTAATGGTACATCTGAACCATGTGGGGAATCTTGTTAAAATTTGGATTCTGAGGTGGTGCCTGTGGTTCAAAGGAGTAGGGCACCTGCCCCATATACCAGAGGTGGCAGGTTCAAACCCAGCCCTGGCCAAAAACTGCAAAAAAAAAAAACAAAAAAAAAATTGGGGGCTCTTCTTTAGTAGTCTGGGGCAGAACTGCAATTCTACATTTTTAACATGCAGATGATGGCAGTGCTGGTGGTTTGTCAACTGCACTGAGAGCAGAGGAGGTGACCTTAAAGGCCTTGCAAATTAGAGTAACTGTGCTCAGCTTTGGCTATACACAAGCATTACCTGTGAAACTTAAAGAAATACACTGTTGGCGCTCCAGACAAAGACCAGCTAAATCAGAATAGGACAAGAGTCTAGTTTAGGCATAGATATTTTAAATGCTTCCCAGGTGATTTTGGTCTCTAACAAGAGCTGAGAACTAGGTTTTCTGATGCTGTTCATTTCAGATCCATAACAAAGATCATTTCCCATCAATCAGTAGAAATAATGGCAGACCACCAAATACCCACATAAAGCTTCCCAGCAGTTGGAGAACATTAGAGGTGGGCTGTTAATTGACAAGGAAATAAAATTGGCTTATATGATTAAGGACTTGATGTGCAGTGTTCAGGGCATAGTAGGTGCTCCGATGTTGGATGAATGAATGAATTTAAAGCATTGTTTATATTCAGATCCCTTGGGACCAGGTTGGTAATCAAATTTGTAAACTGGGCCAAGTTTGTGTCATAAGAACATCTGTAAGTTTACTGGGGCTGCCATAACAGAAATCCACAGACTAAGCAGCTTAAAGAAGAGAAATTTATTTTCTCAGTTCTGAAGTCTAGAAATCTAAGAGCAAGATGTCAGCAGGGTTCTTCTGTGGGCCTCTCCTCTGGGCTTCTGTTTAGCTTTCTTCTCTCTGTCTTCACATGGTCTTTTTCTCAGGGTGTCTGAGCCCTAATTATCTTATACTGGGGCCCACCTAACTGGCCTCATTTAATTTTAATCACATTTTAAGGACCCTGTCCCCAAATTCAGTCTGGGTATTAGGACTTCATATACAAATTTGGTGGGTGTGGGGGAAGAGTCATTTTAGCCCCATAAACAACATCTTAACTTATATTCTTTTGACACACATGTGGTTTTTATGTTATAGTAGTTAATTTTATTGAGGTTTATCACATTCCAGGCATTGTTGTAGGTGCTTTATAGAGATTAATTTATTGAGTCTTTATGACGGTCCTCTGAAGTAGATGTTATTACCCCTTCTGAGGGGCTAGGATGAGGAAATGGAGAAAAAAAGAGGTTAAGTAAATTGTTCAGGTTCTTGATGGTAATGAACCTGGCTTTAAACTCAGGCAGTGTGGGTCAAGAGTATACATATAGCTCTTGGCTGAAAACACAGGAATAGTGTTTGCATCTAATTTTGAATGTTTTCAACTAAAAGTTTTAAACAACTATGCATTCAATAGAGAGTGTTTCTATGAGCTGATGTGCGTAGGGCAGAAGGGATGGAGATTGGCGTGCTCTTTGAGTCTGAACCTGTTTGTGGTTTCTGCACAGTTCCCAGGTACAAAATGGGAGGGTGATTCCCCCAGTTAAGCTCATACACTTGCTTCTCTTCAGGTGCAGAACCCCCATTTTCTAAGGCCTTTCTTTCAAGCAGCTCTCTTCAGTTCCTTAGAAAACCCCTTCAATCTGGGACTTGCTGCC